GTCCGGCGATTTTTTTGAGAAGCTTCTTTGGATTATCCGTGGCATTCCAACTTGAAATGTTTAGTGGAATTGTATTTATAAGTCTATTTCCTTCTTTGGCACTACTCATAAAGTTGAGGAAAACTGTGGACGGCCCACTTCATATTTCACCCTCTTTGGGAATCGTCGGGAAGGCTAGATCTCGAATTTCCAACAAACATAGTCCGTAATGTTGTTCGTGACTTATTTGTACCGGTACCAGCAAAGAACGGAATCCGGTACAGTCCGTATCACCTATTGCACAATGGAAAGAACACCTAGGCAAAGCACATCACTCGTAGGTTTTCCCTGAACCTTTCAGCAAGCTTACGATTAGTGTGCTTTACCAAAAAAAACCCATTCTGTATCTCAGATATCATTCTAGCCATTTGAGGCAAGACGCGGCCTTCGTGCAGCACACGCAGTTGAAGAGTATCATCATCGACAGTTTTAGTTGAGTCTCTTGTCAACACCAATGCAATTTACAAACGAAAGTGCTTCCCTAACATCTGGGCTCGTTTGCCAAAATGAGCCCCGTGATGCTGAAACGACTGATCACAAGGCATTCTCCCAAGAGCCGTATATGCCGCGCTTTGTTACGAAGCTAGCATTGCCGAATTCGGCGCCACACAGCTGAATTCTCATAATCGTCTCCATGTGTGCCAGGTAACCGCACAGGTAAGTAATAAATTCACTATAAAAATCAGTAAAAAATAATCCTTCGTCTGGAACATCCCTTCCGTACCTAGCTGTCACGTCACCCAAAGTAAACGTCAGGGCAGAGACAACGTCAGGTTGCGCAAGCCTAGACATGAGCAGGCGAGATACCCAGGTTAGGTTCGATCAGTGGACCCCCGGTTGATTAAATTGGCGCCTTGACTATTGCGTCACATCGATTTCATTCAGTAATAGCTGTCACTCGTGAACATAAAGCTGATGTTTTTACAAATTCTACCGTAGATCCAAGAAGCAAATGTTTTCATATGTTTATTTGTAACCAGGAGATATTTAGAGCTTTGGGAAAATAAGTTAGCGTCTAGATGATAAGAACATTTCAAGGAGTAGATTCCGAATATCACGAAAGTTCCGTCCTCCATGGAGGTTTTCATAATACAGCTCTCACTCTCCCACACACACACACACACTCATAACTCTCTCGCTGTTTCCCCAGAGTTTCTGCCTCGATCGACCCATTATTCACCGAAAGTTGACACCTCGTGTAATGAAGAGAAGTCACACACTCATAACTCTCTCGCTGTTTCCCCTGAGTTTCTGCCTCGATCGACCCATTATTCACCGAAAGTTGACACCTCGTGTAATGAAGAGAAGTCGCACTGATGTAGTGTATCTCATATGTAACTGCTGAAAACTCTTCCGCTTCGATTTTTTAGAGTTCGTTGTGCTTGTTAAACGGCCAAGTTTTCACCATTTAATACGTGAGCACTGAGCTGGACGTATAGGAAGTTACACAGTCATTTTCAAATGAAACTCAACTGTGACACATACATTATGGGTTTATGATATTCTTTATAGGAAGTGTATCATTGTGAAACATAGAAATATTTATTCGACGATAGTTTTCGGACATTCTGTTGGCATGACCATTCGTGATGCGAAGGAGGAAACAGTGAATTGGATTGTCCAGACGAACGCAACTATCCTTGAGACAACTTCTGAGAAGAAGTGGAAACCTGTAGTGAATAGGCATTTCGTGGAGGGTTATCAAGAGTCCGGGGGAGTTGAATGTTGACCAAGCAGCCAAGCAACACAGCAGCGCACACAATGGGAATATGATAATCCCAGGAGAGACTACTGCAGTCAATGGGGTATTGAGGCTTGGGTCATTGTACAATAGGTCACGACTGCTATCGATTTGTTTTGGACCCTCCAGAGCAATAGCCTCTTTTCATAAGAGGCTCTATTTTGAGAGAAGGAAGTATCAAGCAGCATAACTTATTTTCACTATTGCAACAGCATATCATGTGATCTGGTGCTGACCGACTCTCAGCAGTAGACACCCACAAACTTACATGATTTTTTCTACGTTTACAAGAATATGAAGTCAGTAAAAAGCTATGATGATCTGTAGGCCAACCAGTCACCGTTGAGTGATCGGATAAAAAATGAAGAAAACAAGCACGACGTGGAGCCCAGGAGGAGAAAATAGGGTTGCTTTGAGTGGGATGACGTACTGTGATTGCCGATTACCGAGTTTCACCGTCACACCCTTCGAAGCACAAAGCGATACTTCGAACAGATGACTCGCTGCAGACAATTGTCCGTGGTCTATCAACTGCGATGTTTATTGTCCTTCCGAAATAATCAGGCAGGGATGTCAACAATATTTACTAAATATTTTATGATGCATTAAACCACTGAGTTGCACTTTTGAAACATCCACGGCAAATAAATTACGATGCCGTATGATGGTTATAAGATAGATTGTAGTGTGGGAAGATTTTGTAATTCTCCACTAACAATTCGTACTGCCAGTGACGCCGATCCATGCTGAAAAGCCGAGGAGCAGTGTACAGCTTTTTCCTGTCTAAATGAAAGCCAATCACACTGCAATTTGGTCTCCACAGACAGGACGGTTAAGTGTTCGGCCGCTGGCTATTAGGTATTAGGTTCTGAACCAGTTGAGTTTTGTGATATGCGCAATGCTAATAACTCTCAATAAGGATGAAACATCCGTGCAGTACTTCTCGGCTTTCCAGCAGCGACAGGACGAAATCTCCATGGAAGGCTATTAGATAAACTGACCTGAGGGGCAACAATTTATCACGCTGGGTGTGCCAATCACTCCTAAAGGAAAAACAGCCAGATATAACGACCCTTCAGAAATATCTCCTTATCCGCCATCTATTTGAATGTCTGCTTCTGATTTAACTATTCGCTCTCACTAGATTCTAACTGTTCCTCATGCAGAAGATTCTTGTATGGGATTAATAGGTTATCTGAAGTGAATGACAGTAGTGGACTCAAACAACTGATTTTTGCTGCACTAATTCCACGCAGAACATTAATGTAATGCGTAAGGACGTCTTATTTTTGGAGTACATTCATACCTTTGTGTCATAAAAAACGCTATCGTTGTTTTATTGCCTCAGAGTGAAAAAGAGGCGAAATTGCTCTCCCATCTACAAAACTACGTGCCGTAGCCGGATGCACATCAATTAATTGAAAAAAACGGTAATTTCCGGACCTGAAGAATGTTGCGGGTAGTCCAAAAAAGATGGTTGGGCAGCTGAGAAGACCATCATTCATTTATCGGCTTCCAGTCGATAATTTTTTAGGCCTCATGTCTGGACAGCGGAAAACTGCCCAGTTTGCAGAGCGGCGGCTGCAGTCAGAGATATCGTATCACGTGATTTTCTAAGGATAGTCGGGATGCACAATGTTCCCAAATTATAAAATATTACCATCTGAATAAACCGGTTCCTAGCTTCTCGCTGGGAGGTTGGAAGGGTATAGTTAAAAGTGGTGAGATTCCATCAAACCATGAAATAATCTATGACAGTTTCCTCAGTATCACGCATGTCTACAATATGTTTGGAATACTTCATTAAACCAAGGTTCATCTATCTGGATAGTAAATTTATATAGACATTCGACATCGAGGCTTGACACTGATATGGCCAAACGCAACGCTGTTCATGCAAATCCATTATAAGGATCGTATTCGAGGTAGTTCAGGAATGAGAGCGCGACACAAAGCAGTAAATTATCATAGGGAAAATTGCTTCACATATCCTCCACATGTGTTCGGAATATTTTCTTTCCCACTCTGACCGATACAGTAAATTTGGACCCGTCTGCAACATCACGAAAAGACTCATACCGGACCAAGTTCACTATAGCAACGAAGTACTAGGCATTTTTTACCAAACCGCATATACGATACCAATGTAGTCTGTATACATACCAACCGATCAAACAATACAGCCTTGTGCGTTAGGATAAAAATCGGAACACCTTATTAGCCCACCTCATCATGAGGAACCTTTGGTGTTGGAGATCCACCCATTGGTCACATACGTAACCGTCTACCCGTCACGTACGTGTCATAGTATGCCTTCCAGGCATACTACTTAGCATGGTTGTAGGAACACGAACAGTGATTTGGCTTGCAACCATAGTTCGCCATTAATTGGGCCCGCCAGTCACGTGAACTTCACTCAGCTACACCTAACACACGTGTCTTCTGTGTCTAGATCAGGCATGACGTTGTACCCTGTCATTTACGCTAGCCGGGCAAATGCGGCTAATCTGGCCACGCTGGTACGTCACGACTGACGATATGCAGTATTATGACAAGTGATTTCTTGCGGTCCTTTTGGCGCCTTTGTTAAGCTATAAACTCAAAGAGCCTACGGCAAGAACGTTGGCTTACACCTACCTAGGGCAAGAACCCGTAGCAAGCCACTATGCTCACGATCCCTAACTCCGGTTGCTAGAAGATGTAGCCCCGTCATGCACGTTTCTACTGCTCACCGGTCTCTTCTTGTCCGCTTATTTACTGTCCGACTGAGTGACCAAACTAGCACTCAGAAATTACACACACCACCGACTGGCTCATGGTGTTATCGTTCATGGGTGATCTAGTTTTCAAATCAAAGAAACCTACACTCATTGACATGTGGTGGTGATTTCTAACACAAGCGTTATACCATATTTTATCCACGTTGCATCAATATACCCGGCGAACTTATTGCGTTAATCATTTTATGTACAGTGTAGGGAGAGAATTTCCATACTCAGTATAATCAATATACTGCTCACCTAATACCAATCTGAAAGCAAACCGAGAAATAAACTATATGATAAATATTAGGATGATAACAGGAAGATTGACTCTGTTTTCTCCTCACAGGCACTATTTCGTTTATCTCTGTGGTACCTCAGCAACTTAAAACTAATGATTGCGGACACAGTGGTGCGCGAACCTCGAAAGCCGGGAACCAAAGGGCAAAACAACAAAGTTCGGCAACTGGCACACCAATTTATTGAACTACAAAGACGGAGGAGGACTTCCTGGAAAAAAGGAACAAACTGTCAGAAAAGAAAGAGAGAACAACTGTGATAGAGAATGTGGGGATAGATTTTGTGCGTGATGATCCCGGGGGTTGGAGCAGGAATCCGGCGACTGGTGTGGTTCTCATTGGTCCGCAGCAAAAGCATAGAGATAACCGCACAAAAGTTTGTCATATTGTTCTCGGTTAGAAATAAGCGGTGCTATGTGTCACACCTTCGGAATAGTATACAACTGAGTTTGCTGAAGGTGTCTGGATGGGTACTTGGTGAACTGTGAGGTTGAACAAATGGGTAGGGGCTGTGCAGTGGGGTGAACTGCAAAAAGTTAGCTTAGTTACAGTGACAGATACATCATATTTGGAGTAACCCATTAAAATAACAAGTGTTGGGCCAGAGTAATTCGGTGCAATGGGAGATACTCAGTATTATCGTTCCTCTTCAATAACAACAGCCTTTAGGTATTTCACCACAGCAGTATGCTTCTTGAACTTCTGCTGCACTGCAAAAAAAGTGTGGGAGCGGAGTGTGCATTGGTTGAGCTGGACGCTGACTGTTACCTGGTTGTTTTAAATGTCGCGGGCAGGCAACAGAAACAGCATTATCTGGGCTGAGCGATGAGAATTCAGACATCCCATTCTTCTTAGTGGACAATGTACAACATGGGTGGCCCAGGCCATTGGGAAGTCATATTGTTCACACGTAGCTCCACTGTACACACATCAGCTGGACGAGGTATTAACTCAGGTGAGTGGGAGCACCGGGATTGTGAAATCAAATTCTAACCAGGTCAAGATGCATAGAGGGCGATAACTGTGCATTTCATATGATGGTGACTAACCCGCGTGTATGTCTTGCAGAGAAGGCTGTGGTAAGCTATCCTGCCCACCCACAGAAGGAAGGAAGCCTCCTGTATGGGGATGAGCACCTAGGTGACTGCTGTGATGCCCATAGTTAGGGAGTCCCAATGGATGGCGATTTGAGGATGAGAAAGGGTTGGGTGAAGTAGACCCAATCAATGCTTGACCATTCGTTCCACCGGCTGCGTGAGTTTGCAGATGAGCGGGTTGAATAATTCCAGCTGATCCACCAAACGCCGTAGTGCCAGAAGAGTGATGCGTAGAACTGGACTGTGGTAAGTGTCCGTTGGTCATGCCACGATAGGATCCGTTTGGCGGAGTGTATGGAACACCAGGGGGAGAATTGGAAGGTCCTGTGCTGTTAGATGTGTAGGACGCTCGTTTTTGTTGGTGCTGCAGTGCTAAGGCAGCTGCAGCGTAGTGTGCGGCGGCCATCGTAGCTTGATGAGCGGCCGCTTTCTGGACAGTTTCTGCATCTGTGGACCCTCGAAGTTTACTGTCAGGTAAACCGTAGTTCATATCTGTGGTGTTATTGGCGGCGTTCGGAAATAACCCAAACTGCCCGGATCCCGAAAACGGATTGCTTGGTCGACCGGAATTTCCATTACCAGTAGGCGGCGGAGAGGGAGCAGAATAGGAAGATCCATAGGGTAGGTGACCTGTCAACATTGATGGGTAGCCACCAACTGTCCGATGGTAACTGGATAGTGCACTGGCCGGTCCGAATTCCGAATCGGACATGCCTCCACCTACGAGGTAACTTGGTACATATCCGCCATCATTCACCCCGGGACGAGCGGATCCGGTAGTTCCGGCACCACCTGGGCTGTCCATATCAGCAGCGGAGGATCCTCCTGCCGCGGCAGCTGCAGCAGCTGCTGCTGCAGCGGCGTACAACTCTGCACTGGGTAGCCCACTGGGATGAAAGCCTGAAAGAACAAAAGGAAACTATCAGGGAAAATTTATCCTGGTCCCTATAATCATTTTCACACGTCATAAGCAGACGAATGGGTAGGCAGATCAGACATGAGACATGGCAACTGTGATTACAATAGAGGCACGACGCGCTGGGCAGAATGAGTGTGAAATTCAATACTTACCCGAACGGCCATAAGCTGCAAAGTGCTGATTATCCATATAGGGCAGACATCCAGCGGCGTCAGGAGGATAGCCATGTGGTCCTGTTCCGACAGATGCGGGAAAATAGAAGCGAAGGGAAGCCTGTTGTATTCAGGAAAGTTATACGATGGTTGACACAACCACAGGTGCATGTTGTATGTGATTTCAAACCGATTAGACGACTCTACTCCCGGAATGCGCAACAGGTCGCATTTCAACCTCGCGGGCAAATCGTTCACTTCACCAACACATCAATTTCACACCGTTCGGTATCCACGCACACAAACACACCTATAAATGCATACATACAGGACATTCCATATATGAAATCAGACTACCCGATAAGTGGTTGCGCTACCTTGTTTCTCTCGGCTTGTGTTTCCGGACAGTGGTAGGTCATGCATCGCTTCTTGTTGATCTACACCGATTTGAACCAGACTAGGCCCACCTGGCGCGCTAAACACGATAAGTGAGTGAACGGTACACTCTTCCTTGAGGGGGGATGCAAGTGTGTCAAGTACTCACGTATCTACTAATGTACGTTCAACTCAAACCGCATGAGAGATTGTACGGAATGCAGCGATAAGTATTACGATGTAGCTGAGCAGTACTGGGTCGAAGGCATTCAGTTACCATGCTAGATCAAGCTGAAATCCTGTCTGTAGCGTAAACTGTTGTTCTTGTGTATGTGAATATATAGACTGATCAGTTACGTCAGGATTTTTGCGCAGTTACCTCGTAAGAGGGATGTTCATGAGAAAGTTAAGATGAATCACTGTGATAATTTTACAACCACTGGAACAGAAGGAATATGGTGAGTTGTGTAGCTACATTACGCCTGAGAGTTTCTTTAAAGACACCAAATGACTATTGCTAATCGAAACTTGACGGATGGCCCAGCTGGATGTAAGATACTAAAAAAAAGTGAACGTAGACTTACCCGCTCGGTTCGACTGGTCGATCATTGGCTGAACGATCCGTCTCCGCGCATTAATAAACCTGAAAAGGCAAAGTAGGGTGGAAAGTATAGCTATGCAAATCAAAACAAGGCACGATTATATACACAAGTGCAGCGATGGACGAACTCTATGACAAATATTTCTCATTTGGTTGGACGGTTGCGGTCCGTTCAGTCATTTCTGCATGATAGTCTTATTTGCTCTTGACTAAAGTCTCAGAAACTCGTCAGAACCAGAGAGGCACAAATCACGGCACTTATGAAGTCTATTTATTCGTAGTTTTCACGAACTGGTGACCTTACTTGTACTTAGTTTAAGCGGACCTTAACCGCCAATCTGCACCGAACTGCAGCACAACTGAACGCTCATACAGGTGCCAAGGCCACGCCACTGTCACCGGTCAAAAGTTCAAGGTCATTTTTATCAAACAGCCACTTATCAGTTCAGCTGTGGCTGCAGAGCAGTGACCTCGTAGACTATTGGTTCAACCTGGTGAGAGTGGAAAATCAAGTCGCCGACCACTAGACCCGTAGTAGCGACAAGGTACTGCGTCGAACTTTACTCTCCCTGGCGAGTCATAGTATGAAGCGGCCATCCACATGAGCTGAAGTTCCTTCAAGCATTACTGACTAGGTAATGCAGCGTCTTACTATGATCTGAAAAGGATTTGAGAGTTACTCTGATACCATTATTGTTTCTCTGCGGAAAACTATATTACACGAAACGAACTGACTCCGCAACATTGAGGTTCTCATTGTTTAGCCCAAAATGATCCGGCGATCATGATATCTTAATTGGTGGATTGCTCGTAAATCATCGGAAAGACAGCAGACGAGACATTTTCTCACTTCAAGTTTTGCTCTTCAAGTTTGGTAACTTCTAATTGTCAATTCCATACTTCGTCTCAGAAAGACAGCCAGAAACAGAGCAAATTATGTAGGGTGTAATACGGTTTCGCATCTGGCAGAATACTACATTATCTAAAATTTTGTCCGAACTCGAGGCTTGGCATTACAACAAATACCCTCACCTGCAAATAAATTTGGTTTTCATGGGAGACTCAGCTGAATCTCTCGTTTATGATATTCTTCAGCTAAATGTGCTGCAAAAGATTGCTCCATTTTCAGTTGGTAAGATACCTGAGATACCACAATATATTTTAACAAAGAAACTACTAACAAGTTTGCTGCGAACTCTTCGACACGGATAAGCAGGTGAGAATATTTGTCCAAATATGTCCAACTTGGGTTCAAGTAGAACATAAGGTTGAGAGAAACTCGAGAGCTGCGCCTACCTGATGAGGTCCAAGAAGTGTGAAACGATCGTGGGTTATCGAAGAGTTTTCAGCAACCCTTTGAGTAGTTTCCTTTATGAACAAAAGCCCTGGTATTACTTTTTTTATTGGGGAAGCGGATTTAAATGGCTCCTCTAAGTTTATCGACGGTGCACTCAATATAAAGCAGCAGCAGTTCTTGCCACTTCGACAGTTTTGCCGTTTTTAAATCGAGGAAGAACCTGTCTGTCATACTAAGCCAGTGGGTCTGGTTGTTTTTGAACAGAAGATCGAGTTTCAGAAACGGCAAGGTCAGCAGTGAACAGGACACCGATATACATTCAACTGACTTCTGGTGAAGTAAATAACTAACTTCTTGAAGCTTATCTTCAATAGGGGCGCAGGTGAAAAGAAAGTTCGCTAGCCGAGTACTCCACAGTGTCTATGCATTCATTTGTGTGCCAATTTTTGGTAAACCGCGTTTGTCCTACTGCTCTTGAGGAGAGAATGTACAGATTTGCAGTGGACGATACAACCATGTGACGAACACAAACGCCAATCCTCTGATCAACGCATTCCACGGAATCGGCCTGCCATTCAAAGCAAGTCATCGAATATTACTGTATCAATCAAAGGCTACTCGTCAAAGCAGTTACGTCATTCGTAATTCAGATACGGCCACCAAAACACGTGAACATTCTGTTCTTGCCCTGGGCCGCAAACCACACATTCCCGTCAGCTGACAAATGGCGTCCTTGATTTCTACCAATCATAAGGCTACGCTGTATGATTCTGTCTTCTAGTTCTTAGCTCTATTCGATCCAATCAGACACTATTGACAAACGAGTTTTCACTACGAGCTCTATTCCGGGCGAAGCGGGGATGCTTATGTAAATGTGGGGGTTACATTCTGGTCGTTCGGAAGATCAGACAACCTTGAGACAAGTGGTTCTTCTAGTTTGCGTAAAAAGTTCATAGATAACTCAGCGACTCATAACTTTTCTTTACCAGCGGTTTCGCTTCATCTTCCCAAGGAGATTGGTCTGACTGGACCGATGATCTTCGATACCTTGATTGGAAAATGAAATCCAACTAGTCCTCACTTTTGAACTGGCAAAACTTTTAGCTGGAATTTATTAGCTGCTTGAGCTTGTTGACTACTGACCCGTGGAATAAAATTTTGCATTGAGTGTCTCGAATACATCAAAGGCAGCAAGACTCTTGGATGACTGAGTTTCAACTCATTGATTTACAAACCTTTTCCGAGGTTAGCTCAAAGTGAGACACCTCAAAATAACACACCGAAATACTGGGTCTTAGGACCGAAGAACAGTAATGCTAACTGATATTACAATATTCTTCTCGAGAAAAAATAAGCCACCGAGCTATTCCGATCAACCGTCTGAAGCAAATTTCTTCTGTATCTGTCATTCAGTCATCTAACCAAAAAGTATTCCCGATGAAATCATGCGTCCTCTTGTTTCAAAAAATTTTGTCCTGAAGGACCAAGTAAAACCTTCTTTCAGATTCACCTGACAGACAATAAACCGAGGGGTGGGTAAGTCCAAATAACGGGCCGAATGAGCAAAGTTCTAACATCAGGATTGGACTAAGACAGATTGCCGGAAGTCTAATCAAACATATGCCTTGTCCTCTCTCAGATAGCTATCTGAGACACTTCAACCATTAGTTGCCATGGTATTCATGTCAAAAACAGACAGCGCTGTCTTGATTTGTCTACTACTCAGAGCATGACACTGTTTTCAGAGACTCATTTCATTCTCGAGATAGGCAATACGAGATTCTATGCAAAAGGATATTGCTACACAGTCTACCCACGCTACGGCCGCTGTTCACTTACTCGGACTCTATTGTCCAGTTGCTATGGCATCACTTCACCTTGGGGCGATTTTTGAGGTAGATTATCAAGCTTATTTACCCTACCCACCTTTTTCTACCGCGCTGTCGTCGGTGTAAATCATACGGCTCTACGTTCCCCCTTTCGTAAAAGATCTGATTACAGAGGGGATTGCGTGGTTAAGCCCGTTACTGCGGTGGAAATGCGAAAGAAGGAAATTACGTCATTCTTGCTAATTAATGCGTCTTGTATATACCGGCGGATATCATGAAGAGTATCCGTCCAGAATCACATCCATCTGTGTGCGTATCGACATCGAAATCTTCTGCGTATAGGAGCGTGTGCATCTTTTTGGGTTATGGTTGCTGGCGCTTGTCAACCGAAGCTGAGATGAATTGGACAGCTTGTTACTATGCCAGTTCGAATCACTCCGAGATTGTGAAACTGGACAGTGCTTGTTTATCGGACAGACCCAAAAGTGTACCGAGGAAGTGGTCATGCATTTTGGTAGGATTATGTCTCCGCAATCTCATCCGGCTATTGGCGCTTGTAGGCTACCGAAATCCGCTTTTGACGAAGATATTTGGAGTCTGTGTGGAGAAATATTCCAAGTATATTTTTCTGCGTTTTTATAGAGCATATGCGAGACTTTTTTCGTTGAAAAGAACTGGTGTAGTTGGGAGTCACCTGTCGTCATTACCAACATTCAAGTCTTGAAGGAAACCATAAAGCTACTGAAAATGCCATGAAGAACCACAGCTGAACACGTTTGCTTATAGCTACCTGCGAGATGACCAACAGCTAGCTAACTTCCTATATGAATCTGTCTCCATCTGTATACGACAGTTGTGGACTTTAGAAAAGCGGAGAGCATATTGTCATTAGGTGGTCTAGGTTGTATCAACAGCCCATTGCGGGGTTGCTCGGTGCGGAAACAACCGTGAGCTCGTCCGACGTAAAAACTTCGGTGAAAAAGTGCGAAATGCATACAGGCATTAGAAGCGCGTCCGTGTTTTAAATACAGTAACTTGCCGAAAACGGTGTTGAAACAGAGAAAAATGATTGTTCTGTCAACCCGTCATAAATTCTTACCAGTTATTCACTTGGAGTATTGTCAAGCCCGTGTCCGCGGCTAACTGTTTCTTTTGTTCTTCCGAAGGGTAAGGATGCTGATAAAAAGAAAGCAGTCAATTAATAGGGACCAATTTGGACACGTATGTCCTCATCAAAATCGACTGACATCTTATTATCGGTCAATAGTTCCTCCTTCGAATGATGAATCTGCTGTATTCGGGACTATCCAGGATTCAAATGTTAGGAAGTCACCGTTTCTTCGCTTTCAAGAGGCAAGCACTTATTACCTGTAGCTTCTGAAGCTACCCAATAGGCACAAAAGTGAACAAGCTTGAATCACGCACACAAAAATGTACCTTAAGATAGACCCTAAGATGCCATGAATTTCATGAAATTATGAAAAGGATCTGTGGCAATCACATCCAAGATGGGACACACAAGGTAAAGTGGCTTTTCGGCATGTCACCGTGGTAGAATGTTCTTTGGGAAGTGGACTTTACACAAATCAGTGACTGAGGGGGACGCTAGTGTCACGTGTTCAAGAAAATGGTCTCTTCTTGGAGTGGTCTGGTTGGCATGATGGAAGGTGATACCGTAAGGTGAAGTGATTTACTGTATTGAACTAAAAGACGATGAATAACGAGAGGTTCTATGCGCTTGTCCAACCGACCATCTGCAAGAGGTAGAGCCGTTCAGGAAACTGCCATCTGGTACTGATGTCCTCATAAGAACGGATGCCGGAGCAAGTCCGTCCTGGAAGCTTGTTAGTAAGCGGGGATTTCAGGTCAAAGACCTGACAGAAATCGGGCTATCAGAATCGAACTTTATTTACGTCGATAAACTTATGGCCCAACCAGTCCGTCCGTAAACCACCGAGTACTCCCCTACTGAATCCGATCACTTGTTCACTTTATAACATCATACAGCAAATTACCAAAAATTTGCTAGATTTCAGAAACTGTTGACCACAGTTCACATGCTGAAATAAAATTGAGCCTTTTCGTAATGTTAAAGGTACCTCTCAAAATACGTCTATCCTTTAAGTTTGTCGAAATTCATAGTCTTCAGTTATCCAAGGCGTCCAGATAGAATTTTAAAAAATCATTGATTATCATTTAGTCTTCAGAGAATACCACGTCCTGTCATCTTCCACTCTGTCAACTTATTGATCCAGGTGATTAAAACAAAGACCTTTTACTCCTAAAGGCACCTTACAGGTGAATAAAATTTTATGGCCTCAACGCTGAGTGCCCGTCCCTGTGTGACCTCGTTCTCCAACGAGCAGAATTACAAATAGCGATGGAGCACCTGCGTTTTATTGTCGATAGCGAGGATAGAAAACAACAAATATACCTGAGCATGCACGTTTATGTGTCTGTGTGTAAAAGCCATGGGAGACAACAAAAGGCTAACTCTCTTGACAATTATTTAAGTAGGCTAGCCAGCCTTCTGAAAACCTTTCCAGACTGATCAGCACCTTTGTATGATGAAAGGGACTGGTGATGTTATTTTGTAGTGATTCGCAAGAATGAGATGATACTTTGAAAAATCGAAGACGATCAGGTGACCGTGTATGCAACTCCGTCACAATTAACTTACTGATAGGTGTTGAAACAGCCAGGCTCGCATTATGTTGGTTGCGGCTTTTGGGAAAATTCCCCGTTTCTTTTGTCTTTTGGCTACCTTTTCTTCCAGGTCAAATTCATCCATATTCTCACCGGACCCAACGGAATTATCTACACCGTCACCTGGTGCGGAAAAGGTATAAACGTCAGTTTACTTCAGTGGAAAACATTTCAATGCTGAACGCAATGGAGTACGCTTCGAACATACATTTCAAGGGGTAAATTTCCCAAATAGCTTGAGTATTCTACTCCTTAAATACTCATTTTCATTTCACGAAGAACCAATGAACTGACTGCATATATCTCAAGTCATTGTGAGGTTTGTATGGTTCATGTGATAAAAATTTACTTCACGGACCATAAGCTGTGTAACTACGCGGAAGCGGTGCGTGTATGAGTGGTACTTACCCGCTTCACTGTTCATATCTTGGCTTGTATGACTCCGGGATAAGGGCGTGTTAGCTTGTGACAAGTGTTGTTGTGGTGTAAGCGGATTCTGCTGTTGATGGTGATGATGATGGTTTGATGTCGGGTGACCCAAATGCTGGCCAGACGATTGCTGATGCCCTCCGCCAGAAGCTGACCGTCCACCACCACCTCCACCGCCTCCACCGCCACTACTTCGATCACCACCCGACCGACCTCCGCCACTTCCTCCGCCGCCGCCCGCGCCCCCACCATCGCCTCGGTTTGAGGAAGCTCCACTTCCGCCGCCACCGATACACCCACTACCCCCGTTTGGACTGGTGTGGTCGTCCACATCCGGTGAGCGCCTACTTCCAACGCTGCCCAACAGTGGAGAGGATGTCTAAGATGCGGGGAAAGTGACAAAGACAAACACGGTTAGTATAGGTTCAAAAGATAGAGGTCGCCAAGACGGTTGTTCGCGGATCCATATGGGAAATGTGCCATGTTTAGTACCTGGACTTCCAAACATATTACAGATAACGTAATCTAGAACTGACTGAGTGACGATATCTCAGTGCGCCTTGTAGTATGGTAGTTCTATCTTGCAGCGTAAAATGTAGATTATAACCCATCGTAAATTTCTCTGGCCTCTTTCGAATAAAATGGTCTACTCTTCTGACAAAAAATGCACACCCAGTTCCAATCTGAATGGTATTCATGCATTCTGGTCAAGATAGCCGCGCGGACTACACAGGTCGACCGATCATAGTAACTCGTAACTCCGGGAACGAAGTTGTGATTACAAGATTTAAAGTTTTTCTCTGTTGCCAGGATGATGCCAAGGTAGGAGGGAAGAAATCCACATGGACATTTTTTAAGACGTGTGCTATCCAAGTTCAGCACCCAATTTTCGGGTGTCCGGCTTCTTAAAGTAGATGAGAATTTTACAACCACAATGGGGTGAATTGTGCTGACAAACCGAAGCTGATTACTGAAACATCTAGGAGACACTAGTCTCATTTCCTGATATGACTAAGACATACGAGGGTTGGCGGAATAATTCATTTCTCATCCTTATTGCATTTGTTCTCCAACGAACAGAGCTGTATCACTGGCGAATCGAAAATGCTGGAAACGCTGGAAGTTAATGAAACTTTTGTTATGATCTTTAGGTGACAAAGCGACTGAGGCGTCCACCACGTGGAAACCTGTGACCCGTTTAAATCAGAGCACAGTCAGCTTATTTGGAAATCTGAAGGCATCTTTGGATCAAATTTGTTTTCTATACAAACCATCGGCTGTTTAGGTTGTTTGAGGGTGGTTGGTCTCTGGATCAATGTATGACCTGATAGAACCAAAGAAAGTGACCCCTGCACATGATGGACTTCTTACGGCTCCACGCCGAACTGAACACTTGGCGTCCAGTTTAACACTCGTGGTTATTCTCACTATTTGCGAAATATCAATACGCATTGAGTGATCCCCGAAGCTGTGAGCGGAGAAATCGGGAGAATCAAGGCCATTATGTCTGACCATGCATACAGAGTCAGCTTTGGCGAGATGCGTCCACAGAGAGTGCCACCCATATCTCTATTCAACGGTTTCTGAATCCGGTTAGTGTTTGTGGGATAAACATCGCTGATAATAGTGATTGAGAATGCAGTTTTGCTGTGGTTTTAATCCAACCCGGTTTAACACGGACGGGTCCGGAGAAAACTGTGGACTCAAGCTCGCAGATCCAAACCTGGCATTTTTATTAGTCATTTGCTCGCTAGGTGTACAGAGTTCAGGAGAAGACCAGATGGTGCTCACAAACTTTTGGTCTCGATTTTACGGATTTGACATCTGTTAGATCTTAGATGGGGTTCTTATGCTCTACACACTACCGTATTTTCACGTGTACACCTCACGTCAAGTTTTTCGAAGTGCACGCCTAAATTATAAACATTGGTTTCTGGAATTGCAACCCTGTAACCTAATACATATTATCCATTATGCCTACGGCTAGCGCCGCTTTTCAAGACTGCATCAAGCCACTTGTGTGTGTAGTTTCGAAGTTAGTTTTGCTTGCAGCGTTTATCACCTAAAAAGACATTACTGGGCCTCAGCTATCCCAATGTTAACCATTGTGCAACCCGAAGATCGACACAGTAATGCAGTAATCCACATCCTCCGCTATCTTGAGGCGATTGCACGCAACCAGGATCGCTGGCTGTCCAATCACCAGCTTCGGCATGAAATGCATAAACATTGACATGTTCTTGTCCGCATTTTTATCGCCAAAAATAAACTCTGGTCAGATTTCAGGAAATCACCCTTCAAACTGCCCGGTGTCACCGGTTTGGGGAGTATAAATTGGTGCATTCCCTAAACAATCCCGGACTTTCATAGTCGCTCTCCAGGTATCCCTTTGACTTTAGGCAGTGAGTGTCAAAATTGACATTCCGTCTACCGTGCGTACGTGTATGCCTATGTGCGCATGTACTATGTGCTCCAGGATGTATACAAATAGGCGGGTGTGAGTTTTTCCTCCAAGGCTTGTGCACGTACATCCTGCACACCGCACTTTGTCTTCAAATCATTCACGCAACGGTACCTACCTGCTGCTAGATGAACAACATAGCAAACATCAAAGGGCTAGTGGGTGACAGTCAGTCCTGGAGCGACACAAATGTCTGCAAGCGGAACAAGCGCTTTTGTGATGATGATGGTGGCGGTGGCGGTGGTGGTGGAGAGACAAATCACGAATGCAGTCACTGTGTCATGCCTTTTAGGCAAGTAAATCCCATTTTTCCTTCTGTCAGACAGCTAAAGCGAGATTGAGAGGAAGAAAATTACAACGCGCATTACATTGATGCAGGTTCTGTTCTATCGTTGTCGTTGAAACTGCCGTCCACAGGACTGTGGCATAATTGAGCGGGCAACAGTCTTATCCGGTCTGAACGCGCACAGGATAACGATGCTACCGCTAGGTGCACAGCGCTGCGTTGACCACCGAAAAGTAAGAAACATTCTATCAAGTTGTGCGCCGCATGTGCGTATGTGTGTGCTTGCCTGCCATGATGTGGTTTCAGCTAAAGAGACGTACGTACGTACAGTATGTTTGTTAATCTAACACGCACACAAGCGGTAAACATATGCATCAGAAAAAGCATTTATCCCTATGGTAGCTCACCTAAGAAGAATTAATAAAAAATAGTTATCCAACTATTAGACTTGTTCACTCCATCTGGGATGCCATCAACCTGATGAAAATAAATACTGGAACTTGTACACACGAACATCATCTTTTTTCCCTGACGGACTTCAACCGGAGCCCCATCTCTCTCATGGCTGGTTGCATCCAGTGTAACAGTCGGCAAACGTATTCGTGTGTGTGTGTGTGTGAGGTTGGAAGATGGTGTACACTTTTTCCACATGCAGCCTCCGAATGTTGGATGCCGCATTTGGTTACTCAAGTGCAATCCTTCAATCGTCTCTTAGATTCGTTCCCTTAGATCCTTGAGGAAAATGGAACTGAAGTATTCTGTGTAGGGGGCCGTGTGGACACAGTAGACCAAAGGATACCACGGATAGTTAGCACGCAGGTGAATATAATGCATCTGGAAGAAGAGCAGTTTCAAACCCCATGTGGTCCAAAGGACGTGACGTGACAATCAAGGTAAATTCAAGTAGGACTATATCACTGCCTGATACAATGTTGTAAAAACCTGGGAAGGCCGGGTCTCTCAACTTAGTAGTTGAATGGTCCCAGTGCAAGTTCGGACCTAATATGTGTTGCTCGAGATGTGCGCCTGATATGTACGAAACCCGTGTCAGCAGTAAGAAAAAGCCGGGTGCTAGCTGATTCACTGACACTTTCAATTACCGTCCAGAGTTTAAATCGAATACTCGACTGCTTGCAGGTCAACCGCAGGAAACCCACATGCCGTCGTTCTGCAACGACCTAGCAAACAAAATTTCCGAAATTCAAATTTGATCGGGTGAGTAAATATAGAATTTCAGAAGGATTTCAACCAGTTTGGAAGGTCAGTGTGCGTGAAACTTGAGTCGCAAGTAGAGCAGGATTATTTTCTGAATTCGGCTACCGTTGAAGGTATTCTGTCGGTGGTGGTGGCTCGTCTCCAGTGCGATGTTTAGTCACATAGGCAAACCATCAATTTTGTTTCATTTCAGTGCAACGAAACTGTCCTGATAGCCACATCTTCCCTTAACTTCAGCAAGTTCAACAGAGAATCAGCATGTATACGAAAACAAGCTTGCTGACTCGCGCTTCTTCACACTGTGACGATATCCTTCGTCCTATTCTATCATAATTTCACCCGCATGTTCTATCTTTTAAACGTTTTCCGAAACCACAAATTTTCACACTAGACCCTTTCAAACAACTTGGGGAATGTTTCCCACTATACATCAGCTATTCGTGCTCAGTCTACGAGAAGCCTCAACATTACCTCACACACTAGTCGTCATTGGGCTGGATGGCTTTACACAGATGGATGAGTTGATGAATACTGGAAGATTGATAGCCACATGTCGCAGATGGGGGTTGAGATAAGGTAGCAAATAGACATTTTGTGAATACATGTGCGGGCACAATCAACGGCCAGGATACAGAATGTGTCGGACCATTAAACCCGATAAAGAATCTGACTGCTCATGACCTGTATCATACTCAGCACAGGTTCACGGCCCATTAACTCAACCAAATTGCGTCGGCAGTATCGATTATTGCTGACCACTACAGCTGTAGCCAGTTAGTATGCTTCAAGTCAACCGCCGGGAACAATGCACCCGAACATATGGTGGTCTGATAAACCCTTTCGAATGAATGTATTTGATTGAATGCATCCTAAGTCGTCTGCCTCATGCGTGTGGCGCAGGTATACATCAGAGCAGTACATAGACAACGCATGCTTATTTTGTTGGCTCATTGTATTGGGTTCTAAAATGAAACGGTTGCAAACTCATTCGGTAAGTGTGTCGGTCAGTATTCAATTGAATACTATTGGATTAGCGGAAGGGTTTCCAATCAATAGTAAATATGAGACATCAGTAGTTTTCTCGAAAAGGCTTTACACCCCTGATCATCAAACCTGGCGTGATCATCTCATTTTTCATTGACATTTGGACAGAGTGCGTTCTTACCGGAATGTACAAACCTGTGGACAGAATACTATCAACAGACTAGGAGAAGGTGCCTTAGAATCTTGACAACACGGTGTGATGCACTAGGCATCCATATCCCAACACCCCCATTTTCACTCATTCACATGTATACAGTTATTGGCCCACAATTCACCTTTTCCTTTTCGCTCTCTCCTCTTGACCAAACATTAACTAAAGACACGCAATCTGCTTTTCCGACCGACTATGCGGTAGGAACCAGACTGTAGCTAT